TGGTCAAAATTCGAAATTTATACATAGCGTTTAATGCATAGAAAAGTGGTGATTCACACAAAACTTGGATCATTCACCAAAATGATATCCACCTGAATGTTTCTCAATGCATTAAACGCTATGTATAAATTTCGAATTTTGACCATAATTCGGTCATTTCTGGTCATTCGCCGATTATCTCAAAAGAAAATACATCTATGAACCGTGCGGAACATGTCCATACCAATTAAAATGGGCTACGCTACTTCCCCTCCAAAATAATTCCTTTTAAGTTGTATTTATCACAATTTTAACAATGCAATTTCCACATTAATTTTTAGAAAACTTTTTACACATGACAAAATTACATCGTTGAGTTTGTGTTCTGAGTTTGTGTTCTGAGTTTGTGTTCTGAGAGACTTTTACGAACTAAAAACATAATCAATACGCTGGTAAAATATATTAATGTATGTAAGACCCTTATTACAAAAATAATGTCAATATAATAATGTGTACTACTACGATATTTATAAACGCATCGACTTTAAAACATTATTTTATTTGAAAATATTAATACACTATTAATTAAACTTTTTATTCATGTTTATAACAAATGATAACGATAAATAGTAAAATTAATTAATCAGTAATAATTAATTACAAAAATGTCATACTTTAATTATACTATCTATTATAGTATTCACTATTTATTTACTTTCTCTTCACCTTTCTCAATTGGTATACTATTCAATTCAATTTTATTATTAACGTTATCATTCTCATTGTCATCAATTTTATCACCATCATCATCGTAAAAATTTTTAATTTGACCCGCTTTGGCAATTAGACCAAAATCAAATAGCGAGCCTGCTACCATAAAAGCCAGTGCCGAGCCGTGTAACACCCACCGGAAACGATCCTGGTCGTATAGCCAACAGTTACCGGTTTTACCGCACGTACTCTCCCATACCAAACAGGCTGAGTCGGCGATTGCACCAAATATCATTGGATAAGGTATCCATGCTATGCGTACAAATAAATCAACATGATAATTAAGATATTTTCTTATACAAATCACCATAATAAATTATACCAAACAATGACAGTACGCTATTTACAAAGCCCACGGCAAAACTTTTATCTTTAGGATCTATCACTCTGTATAAATGTTAATAGTAAAATAAAAATCAATTTTTATTGACATTAGTACGCAATAGTAATTTTTTAAAACATTTATACCGTAATGCAAATAATATGCTTCCAATTCTACCAGTGGATGTTAATAGATGTGGCATCGCTCGGATCAATACATAATTGTAAAAGTTTGTACAATTATCGGCATCGCTTTGACAATAGCCGCTGGTGGCATAACCACCATGGTCAGTTATGCATGAACAATTTGAAGCAATCTGGCAAAATTAATTATTAACATTAATATATGTCAATTATAATAATTTACAAATCTCAATATTAATATTACCCCAGTTATTTTGTCCATGTATTTACAGCCGGCGTAGCATGGTGAGAAATATGTGGTCACGCTATCGGCCGAACACATAGGTGTAAATACACTGGTAGTGCAATCGCAGCCTTGATTACAGTCGGCGTTCATTGTAAACCTATGGGTTGAATGATAAATAATTTTTTATTAAAATCATCAACGTAAAATAAATATCAAACGTTTTTGTTGTCATTTTTGTGTTTGGACCTAGTTGCAATGGCGGACAACCCAAAAATATAGAGGTAAACATAACGCTGTTTGAAACCCATTCGAGGGCAAACATATAAAGAATCAAGGTAATTGGTCGGGGCTTTATATATCTAATTCCAATACCACCGGCCAAAATACCAATCCCTACCGGCACTATACCGGACAGACCGGTTAACAAATTGGCCTTGCTGCCTGACACCCGGTACTGAGACTCCATGTATTTGGGCTTGGTGATCCGGTGACCGCCCCATCCTATGGACCGCAAGCCGTTGCCAATCATGTTGAACATAAATATTGGATTTGTCAGCAACCGTATCACCGCGTGCCAAATACCTGTTAAATGAATAGTAGTTTTTATTTTTAAATCAATGTTAAATCAGTATAATTAGTTACCTAGCGCGCTATTATCATAATCTATTCTGTCTGACTCCTTAACTGACGCCCCTTTCAATTGTCTGGGAAATAGGAACAATGGTAGGGTAACAATAGTTAATAAAATCGCAATCACACAAAATCCAATCCACCATGCTCCGATGAATCGCGGGTCGTTGGTTGGTACTTTCGGATCAACTATTTAGTTAACAATTAATATTTTGCCATGCTGACTAGGGTAAATAAATCAAGTAATGTGATTCAAATTGTACTTACAAAATGGATTTTCATAATATTTTAGACAAATAGAGCCTAATACATAACCACCGGCGGGCCCGATCATTCTCAATATAGACATCAAGCTCATATATAATGGTGAGCTCTTTTTGCTAACACTATCATCAATGAATGCGACCCCAAATACCCAATAGGCAGTATAGCCGACACCTCTCAGCGCACTGCCAATAACCAGGATTATAACCGCTGGCCATATAGTAGAGTGACCACCTTTTGCCGCGCAATCCATTGTATCAATTTTTGCAGAACATAACTCATAGCGCGTGTTATTGGCTGTCATTTGCGATTCCAGCAGTTTGTCATCAAATAGTAAGTGTGTTCCCGGGCCGTAAATAAAGTACGGCGATGCGTTTATCAGGCATGACAGCACCAATACAAGTTCGCCTATTGCCATCATACGAGGTCTAGAATACCGATTACCAAGATAGCCAACAATTGGACCGAGCTAACGTTAATAAATAAAAATATAGTATAATAAATTTATTGACTATCTATGTATATATTTGTTACAAGCATTTCCATGATATTATCGGCCATATTAATAGTTGCTGATATTTTTGAATCAAATGCAAATCTCTTTTCGATAGACGTAAAGATTGCTATCAAATAAGTGCCGGACATACTCTGCACGACACCTATTAAAGCGTAAACCACAATAAACCAAAACGGAGTGCCGAACCTCTGCAACCATTGAGGTCTCCAGGAGCCCAATCCCATTGTGGTATACACCTGGTCATCCTCGTTATCATTATTATCATGTTTCATTTGTTTGTCATATTTACTTGGCATAATTATTTATTAATAACTCAGTATTAATTGTATAATTTAGATTGTTTTTATATGTAATAGAATAACAAGTTAATAAATTATTATTTGTAAGTTATTTATATATAAAGTGACAATTATTAAATAAATTAATTATTTTATTCCACTATTTAATGTAACACTTAACTCTGATTTAATTTATTAATTTAATTTTATATGGTTTAACTAAAATTTATTACCATCTGGAATATTTAAACAGATAATCAATTTGTGTCAATTTATTATTTCTGTACTTTATTGCATCTTAAGTTGTAATTCATAAGATTATTAGCTGATAATTATCATCATATGTTTTCTGTTAATATGACATTTCCTTAGAAATGTTTTTTATATATTAACAAATTCAATTTAAAAATTTTTATTGCAATAATAATAATCTATTTTGTAATAAAGTAAAATTTCCACTACTGTATATTGAATAGTATATTAATTGCCTTAGCGTTAACAATTTATTAATTACATGTCATATATAAATATAAATTATTTAAATATTGCATAAAATAACATTTAATTATATTAAATAAAGTTTTTTGATATTATAAATTCATTGACACAAAAATAATTGTAGAAATAAGAACCTTAAATAATATTCAACGAGTACACTTAGCCCATTTAATATAAACGCATTTTACTCAATCGTTATATATAAAGAGGTTTACTTGTACCTAATGTATTTTGCATTTATACATCAAAACAATAGACCGGATATATATCAAAACAAAACTTTAATCCCTTTATATCTATATCTATGAGTTATGTGTGTATATATTAGTCGTGTGGGTGAGAGAGAGTAAATGCTATACACCTACAGTGAAAACACCACTTGAAACAAACTCTGTCCCCTTCTATAGGCAAATCCTATGGCAAACCCCTCCCACTCTTTGATTGTGTAACGGTTTTGTGTGTAACGTTGTTTACTATTGAAATGAAATCTTGTTAAATGTAAAATAGTATGATTACTATCAGTAAATAGTATTAAAATGATTGTGAATTATATTTATCTAAATTCTATGTAAAACGATTTATACGATAAATTTTAATAAATATTGCTGTAATAGTAAAAAGTATTTTGTAACTTACAAATCACTTCTAATTAATAATTTGTTTTACTTAATTAAATTTACTGTTATTTATCTCTACAGTATAGATATGTATAATCCGAAAACACCAAATAATAATCTGAATCAAGCATAAATCAATACAAAAGTGCAAAAGTAATCGAAAATAATTAAAGTAATTGATAATACAGACTGAGATATTTGTAATATTCACATTGCCATAGTTTAGCGCGCGCACCTCCAATGATTAGCCCATGTAGCTTTACATAACCAGCAAAATTCATTGCCACAGACAGTACAGGTCATATGATCGCAGCCATAATTTTTCTATCAGTTACAATTACAAAAATTAAATTCAAAACTTTATAGTAATTATTAATTCACCTACCTCAATTGGAGACCCGCAACCAGGGCATGATTTTGTTGTGCTAGCAATCATGGCGTTTGCTTGTTCATCTTGTTCACGGAACATACGTTCACGTTGTTCATCATAATCGCAATGACCATGGTAATGTTTGCGACATTTGGTACAAAATTCTAGTTTACACTTGCCACAAGTAGCCCCGTTAGTGTTGTCCGTTTCTACAATCCAGTTACATTGTTCGTTTGGACAGTAACACTTACAACACGTACAAAAATTAATTAATTAACAATGTTAATAAATATAAAGCAATTATTTAAAATAATAATCATTAAACTAATAATAAAGTTATTTTTAATAAATACTAACACAAATAATAATTTTAATAAAAAATGTGTAATTGTCATAAAATAGTACTAGAATAAATTATTTACCACGTCGGGCATGTTGCCTGCCGCACGTATCAGGGTTAAATATTCATATCGTTCATAACTATCTGTGTCTACCAAACGCTTTATTAGCACTTGTGTGGCAATTGTATCGCACCCTTGCGCTGGACAACCAATGTTAGCAAACTGACCAGCCGCGATGAGCGTGGTAAAATGTTTTGCCAAACATTCAGCGCAATATTTATGCGGACAACCGCACGATATAAATCGTTTTCTCGGCACCGCATCCGTGCATATATCGCATGTAAATTGCCTACAAAATAAATAATTTAAAAATTATCAAGTTAAAAATAGTTATAATATAATATTTAATTACATGTTAATAAGTTCGCAGAGTCTGCCATAAAGTTTCTGTATATTTGCTTGGTGCAATAATTTATTTGTTTCAACACTTTTGCATAACATACTATATTTTCTTTGCATTTTATCTAGGCCACTAGCACCTGGATCAGTATCGAAAGATATGCAATAACATTTTTCAATGTTATCAAGTACATTGTTAGACTGTCCATCATCAGTTAAGTTGGCTATGCGACGAGTTAAACAACTGAGCTTGGCCATATATGTTTGTTCATTAAGTTGAATTTGTTGACCTAATTTTAAGTATTTTTCTCTGATTGCAATAAGGTCATCTTCATTTGTTACTTTATTATGTACATTTGTATTTGAACCTGATAACAATTTAAAAATAATTAAAATTATAATTCATTATGGCATTAATATCTTACCGATATGGGTGTGTCTTGATAACATTGTTGTCATAATTATAATATAAACGTATTATGTTGTTTAATAATGTATAATTAGTAAATGTTAAATCACCACAATTGCATCAAATAATTTGTAACTAATTTAGTTTATTTTTATTAATAATAATTACTTTTATAGTTAAATCATTATTAATTTATTAATAATTTAACAAATTATTTACACAATGGCGACTATATTTTACGCATGTTTAATTAATTTGTTGTTGTTTGATTAATGTAATAAA